TTAATGATTATATTTTACCTGTTGTATTTCTTCATCAGTTGTTTCATGTTGTTCCGATGTTTCTCTTTCAGTAGCTTTTCCATTATCTCGTGACCAATTGATACTATTATCAAATATGATAAAAATTCCATTATTATATTCCGCTGCAATCATATAATCGTTATCGTTAAAAATTATGTGGTAATTAAATAAAATAAATGAATAAATAAATTTTATTTAAAAAATCAATCAGTCAATAAATAATTAAATGAATCAATCAACAAATGACCAATTGATTGTTGTTCCATTTGTGCTAATATATCATAAACATAACAATTTCCAGGTGCATATATAATAGAATGCTCATTTTCAGCACTTAATGTCCAACCATCAGGATCACCAACACCTCTACAAGAAATGTTCAATTTGAATAAAAAAAATTACAATTTAATCAAAAATATTTTTTTACCTAATTAATAATTAATTAATGATTTGCCAAAATTAAATTATTGAATGTTTCACCGATTTTGCAAGCATCGTCGTGCTAATTCATCGGCAGTCATCCAAGAATGTACTTCAAATAATGCTTCTTGTTTATCGGAATATTTAATTCGTAATACAGCAGCTTGCTGTTGTTTAAAACTAGCCTAAAAATAAAAAAGAAGGAGATCTATGAATAATTGAAGGAAATGGAACTGTCCAAACATAATTTATATTTATATATATAATTTAGCAAATTCAATTTTAAATAAAAATTTATAAAATGATGATTCGAACATCAATTTGATTCAAATTAATTCTCCTCAATATTATCATTAAAAAAAAAAATCATTCGCGTGGTGCATTTTTATTCACATAAAAAAATCAAAATACGCAATGATTAAATTTATTATCGTAAATTCTTAAAATGATTAAAATCGGATAAAATATGATAATAGGAAAATAATTAGAAAATTAAAATCGCATAAAATATGATATTACGAAGTATTTTTTGGCACAAAAAAACTATTTAACATTCAATCTGCCATTTAAGAGATGATACACTTTCTGATGGAAAAAATTATTTCACGTGATATAAGAATATTATTATCATTAAATTTCTAATCTTTTTATCATTTAGAAAATATATTTTCTATGCTGCCAAGTTTCATCATAATATGATTTTTTTTTTTCGCTAATATTCTCCTATTACTTAAACTAATTTTTCAACATGAATAAATGATAAAACGATGCGTAAATTTACCTGTTCCAGGAATGTTGGTGCAAAATAACGAGATTTACCACCAAAACATTGCCTCAATAGGCCATTAATTAGTTGACGTGATAAATTTGGTGTTTGTTGCTCAAAATAACTATAAATTCAAATTTCAATTGAAAAAAGAAAATTTATGTATTGAAAAATTTATCACTATCATTTTCTCGTTTATTTCATATTTGTAAAAATCATTTAACATCCAAAATTATTCCAATTTCATTTTAAAAAAAAAAAAATTATAGTAGTAAATTTATCAATGCATTATTTTTTTATATATTCATTAATATATTATTTATTTTTGATATTTTGTAAATTTGAGAATAAGTGAATATTTTTGTTAACAATATTTAAGCATTAAAAAAAAAAACAAATTCCATTTTCTTTTTCATACTTCATAAGAGCAGGAAATAGGTGTGATGATGGTGTGAAACTGTTAATTGCTCCAAGAATTAATGTCCATGCTTTATCAGCATTATTTTTCACTCCATTACGATATGTTTGATTACAGAGCTGTACCAAAAGTTCATCCCTTTGTGATGGATTATCTAATGCCTAAAAAATTTACTGATTATTCATCTATTTCTTTTTTTGTTCAAATCTACAAGATGATAAGAGAGATAATTTTTTCAATTTAACTTTTTTTTTTTCAAATTACAATTATTAAGTTGAATTATTATTATCATTGATTATTAGGGAAGAAAAATTGCATAGAATAGATGATATATGATAGTTAATAGATAATTGATTATAAATTAATCACTATTTGAACTGTTATCATTGATAAGAAAGGAGAAAAAAAGCATAGAATGGGTATATATGATAATTGATAGGTAATTGATTATAATGAAATAAGAATGGATATATGAAAGATAATTGATTATAATTTGTAGATGATTGGAGATGATTGGAAAGCAAACTACTAATGCTACTTTTTAATCATTTACTACTAATCAAAATGTTAATGTTTCAAATGACGAGATAGATGAAATCTGATTATTTAATAATTTAATATTTTGGAAAATGCATCACAGCCCAAAATATATGTTTAAATAATTCTCAACTAATAAATTAGCTAATAAAAATGATGAAATTGAAAAATGAATTAAGTCAAATGGTAAGTAAGAAAACAGGTCATAAATTAAGACATAAATTATAAATTGATCATAAATTAGGTAAAGTTTCAAATTAGAGAGTCAGACTATTTTAAATTACACAGAATTGCGCAAATGATTATAGTTCAATATATATGTTCAATTAATTCATACTATTTGAATGATTGCTTTTCCAAGAATTGCTAATTGTTCACAATTCATTTGTGTATTATTCATATATCGCAGTATCATTGCAAACATTTCCAACGATTGATTAAATTCAATCTCAGTTTCTTTGTGTAAAAATGGAGTAGCAATTGGTTCACGTCGCATTTGCAACAAATGACCCTATAAGTAAATTATCCGTAATTAATTTCTCTTTTCTCTTATTTTAACATAATTATCGAAATAACTGTGTTAGAAAAAATAACCTTTTATTAATGAATATTTCAAGCTTAAATAAGTATATTGTGATGTTTTTTAAATTGCTTAAAACATATTATTTGATGGAAGTTTAAATTTTGAATTCCTATTCCTGCAAATCTCATATTAATACAATAGCATGTCATTTCTTTGCAAATTTACATTTTTGACAATTAATATACAACTTACCGATTTTAAACGATCATTTATGATCAAATAGTATAATTTTTACATGGTATTATCATAGAACAGAACAAAATTCCTAATATTAATTTAGCACTTAAATACATACTTTAAAATTATTTTCCGCAAATTGCTCAATTGTTTCCGTTGGAAATTCTAATGATTTGCTAATACGTTTATTGTATGGAATATAATAATATACAGTTCGTATATTCGACATTCTGCAAATTTTTCATATTTAAGCAAAAAAAATTTATTTTTTACTTTTAAAAATTATAATTTCTACAAATACACAGTTTTCATTGTCATATATTCTAATTTCTTCTTTTTTTTTTTTAAGAAAAAAAAATAATAAAATTTATCAATGATATGATGATAGAGGAAAAATTTTGACAATACTTATCTGTTTGTAAATAATCCATTCTCCAATTCTTTCTCAACATTTTTTGGTAAATTTAAATACTGTACAGCAGCTAACGATGATGAATCCATTGTTTGATTACATTCCGCCATTAATGCTGCATTATTTTCACATCCTTCCTCTGTTTCGGTGTACAAATTTAAGCGACGTATTTTGCGTGTTTCCATATCGATAGCTTTACGAATTTCTTTTCGACGACGTACAACTTCACGTCTTCAATGTGAAAAATTGAAAAATTTGGCTAATTTTTTGATAGGATTCATCATTATTATTTTTTTGATCAAATAATAATAAAAGAAAAATTATTATTATTTTTTTTTTGGTAAATCTAATTAGCAATTAGTGATTTTTAACAGAATTTATTACTAGTTTCTTTTTTTTGGCAAATTATTCTATGTATCTTATTTTTTTGGTAATTGTACAGCAATTAG